TGGGGGTGCACACCTAAGGAAAGACTGCAGCCTGTGTGGGGGTGCACACCTAAGGAAAGACCACAGTCTGTGGGGTGCACACCTAGGAAAGACTAGCCAGTGTGGGGGTGCGCACCTAAGGAAAGAAAGACCACAGCCTGTGTGGGGTGCACACCTAAGGAAAGACCATAGCCTGTGTGGGGTGCACACCTAAGGAAAGACTATAGCCAGTGTGGGGTGCACACCTAAGGAAAGACTAGCCAGTGTGGGGTGCACACCTAAGGAAAGACCGTAGCCAGTGTGGGGTGCACACCTAAGGAAAGACTGCAACAGTGTGGGGTGCACAGCTAAGGAAAGACTGTAGCCAGTGTGGGGTGCGCATCTGTTATCATTGGGAGCTCAGTCACCCTCCACTTTGAGACACTGTCTAAGAGGTGCAACCATGATCCTAAATTTTATTTAGAATATTCCCCTTGTAAAATCTCTTAATCCTCATTCCCAACCCACATCTCATTATCCATTATTTTGCCTTTTTGAACACATCATTTAATAATAGATTCTAGAATATTCTGCATTTTACTTACCAAAATATTTTGAGATACATTCCTGTTGTGGTGTAAGTTCAATATTTAGTTTTACCTTTTCTTTTTTGGACACTGGGTACTGCTACACCCTCAAACCCATGACCCTCTCGCCTCTCTTGCCCCAGCCTCCAGAGCGTTAGGATTAACAAGTGTGTATCACTATGTTCAGGTCGGAGCTGTTTTTCCTCTGAAGTTCTGGGAACTGAACAAACCCAGAGCCTTGTGAGGTAAAGCAAGCGATCTACCACCCAGCAGAATAAACAGAAAAGAGATAACCTGTCATCCAGATTTCTCCACATACCTCCAACATGTTTGTAATATCCTACTGGGAACCCATCAATTTTTTGGTGGTGTTCTCAAATTTAGGAAGGAACCGTTAATTTCTCCAAGGAACAGAGGGGTAGGTGAGTATGTCCCCCGGTGTTTAATAAGCTCTGACACAGATGGCCCAGGCTTAAAGCCTGTTCTTCACTTGCGTCAAAGAAATAGGAACAGTCACACCGCCCATGCTCAAGGCTGGTTGTGAGGGTGAGCAAAAGCAGTTTTCTTTTTTACTGACTGTCTACTTTTTATTTGTATAGCCATCTTTCGTACATTTGTATTTTTATAGGTGTACGATAGGACATATTTTTTTTAAATATTTATTTATTTATTATGTATACAATATTCTGTCTGTGTGTATGTCTGCAGGCCAGAAGAGGGCACCAGTTATCATTACAGATGGTTGTGAGCCACCATGTGGTTGCTGGGAATTGAACTCAGGACCTTTGGAAGAACAGGTAATGCTCTTAGCTACTGAGCCATCTCTTCAGCCCCCATAGGACATATTTTATCCTTAAACGACTGCATGGCATTCTATTGAACAGAATATGCTTACTAACTGCATTTTTCTCTTTGAACCAAAAATAATTTTATGCATAGTTTTGTCCTTTATACTTTCAAGAAAACATCCCGGAGTTGATTGCGCGTTGGTAATTCGTCCTTCAGAGACCACGTGACATCCTCCAGGTTGTGCTTGCTGTGCACAGGCCTGGTTTGCACAAACCTTCCAATAGGACTAGCGCACTTTACCGCGGAGTCACAACCCTCGGTCTCCCAGCTACTTCCGGCCCGCTCAGTATGCAACTATCGCAGCAAGGCTAGCGCGGGACTTTTCAACTTCCGCTCCGCGGGGACGTAGAGGGCTCGCTTGCTGAGTTTGCGCGTGCGCCGCAAGCCTTCTTCCGGAGGGAAAGTTCTGCCCTCTTTAGTTCAATATGCTTTGCTATTGGCTGACTGTGGTGTATTTAAGAACGTCATTTCCGGCCGCCGGTCCTTTCCGCGCTGCCCCGGGACGGGTCCATACGGCGTTGTTCTTGGTGAGTTTCTGGTGGGGTCCTCGGTACCGCCCGGCGTTACGGGCTCGACCCTACCGCTCCGTGGATGGGCGCGGACGCCCCGATGCCGAGTCTACGCGAGCGTCTTCGTTCCCGACGGCGGCGCCACGTGGTGGCCTCCCGTGAGGTGGGGCGGGCGCTCGCGCCGGGCTGCAGGCCTAGGCGGCCGCATGCTGGGAAAGTGCTTGTGAGGCGCGTAGAGACAGATCCGGAGCTGCCGGCCACGGTCTCGAGCTACGAAAAACCTGAAACACCCCAAACATGGCTGCCTTTGCACAAGTCGTTGATATCTGTGTGCCTGTGGAAGCGCTAACTTTCGATTGGCTATTTTTTCTGTGTTCTCTTTCTGCCACAAGGTCTGATGAACTTGTGTGGTAGGTGGCCGAGGAAATTGAAAGGGATAGAGTACGAATCCATCCACTTAGCTTGCCGTGCCTGGAGGCTCAGGCCTTTAATCCCCTCTCTCTGGAGGCGGGGGGAATTTGAGTGCTAGGACAGCCCGGACGACATGGAGACCTAGCCTCAGAAAAGGAGTAGGAAAACATACATTTTTGCTCTTCTAGGTTCCCGACGTAACTTAAAAGGGAAACTTACACAATGTCCGGAGCCCTTGATGTCCTGCAGATGAAGGAGGAGGATGTCCTCAAATTCCTCGCTGCAGGAACCCACTTAGGTGGCACCAACCTCGACTTTCAGATGGAGCAGTACATCTACAAAAGGAAAAGCGATGGTCAGTTACCGTCTTTGATAACTCGGGTCGATTTCTCTTAAGTCTCCGACTGCCCTGCTGGGGGCAGTGCCGATACTGAGTGCTCTGTTGGGACACTGGCCTGTATGTCGTTTGGAGGAGTGCCGCAGCTGGCTGGGGTGTGAGTTAGATCCTGGCGGGCGCGTGAGAGGATGGCAGGATATGTTATTTCCTACGATACACCCTATGTCACAGACGGAGTCATCGGGATCGACTGTGTAGTTTTAGTGGGAAGTGGAATGAGCAGTGGGGATACACAAGATGTGAGGAGGAAGATTGGCAGGATGGGTTGTAGAAAGGGACGGGTGTTACGTTCACTAGGCACCTGAGGGAGAATCGAGTGTTGTAAGGGATTGGTAGGATGGATTAGAAGTTCAGGCAGTGGTCCAAAGGGTAGAGGACATGATGGAGGATTACCCCATGGAACTGAAGCTGCACACTATTAAAGCTCAGGGTGGAGGCCTCCTGGGCCGGTGAACTTCTGAGTGTCGGAAGTGTGCTACATGAACAGATGGCAGGATTTTCGCTAACACCAGTAGAGCTAGCCTCTGTGACTGGAGTTTGGTAGTGGTCTCTGCCACATCCATAGTCTGCCTTCCTTCAGAGTGTCCGTTTGTTCGGCCAGCTTAGCAAATTCATCGGGGCACTGGGCTCAATCCCTAACCATCATTTGTTGCCAGGTAGACTTGGGAGGCAGTCGGTTAGTTGTCTGAGCTCTCGGCCAGCCTGGCCTTCAGAGTGCCGGGGTAAAGCAGTCCACTTGTCTTCACGTAGGCATCTATATCATCAATCTGAAGAGGACCTGGGAGAAGCTGTTGCTTGCAGCCCGGGCTATTGTTGCCATTGAGAATCCTGCTGATGTCAGCGTCATCTCCTCCAGGAACACTGGGCAGGTGTGTAGAACAGAGGCCAAGTTTTGGGTCGTGGCAGTAATCCATAGAAAGAAAGGCAGATCCAACGTGGATACCCCAGGAGGTCACTCTCCCTGGGCTCTGTCCTAGTGGCCTAGGGGAGCATAGGCACTGCCCGTGATGTACAGTCCCTTTCCACGACGTTGGAGATGAAGCTGGGCTTCGTGCCTGCGCCTGCATATTCCTACGGCTTCTCAGAGTCCTGAGGACGATGACTGAGGAGACAAACCATGCAGGAAACAGTCCTCCCTCCGCCTTCAGTGGTGGGCATAATGTCAGCCGCAAAATACCTCCCTTTCCCTTTGCGCTTGATCCTTGTACAGGCTCCTGCAGGTTCTTCAGGGTTTTTAAGTTATTTGCGAACTTTTGTTTCAATTGTAAAAAATGAGGAAGTGTATCTTTCCTGTTAAGAAAGTTAACAGTTTTGTTACCTGTATGCTGGCTGAGTTGGTGAATATTCAATTTATCTTAAGGTTTGAGAGAGTTAAATACTGACAAAGTGTTCTGTTGGAATGTTGCAGTAAAGGTCCTGTGAGTGTGGTTCCTGAAGAGTAGAGCTGTTGTGGAACAGGATAGAATATGGTTTAGTAACTGTTCCTCCCTGGGAAGTGTTTGTGGTACTTGGATAGAGCAGAAAGACCATCTGGAGGGAGTCAAGAAATCTCCAGGGTGAGGGGGCAGGCAGATCTCTTAAAAATAGCAAGGCTACCCAGTTGAGACCCTGTATGTCCCCACATGTGAGGGCAGAGATACACCCAGTGTTCTTACAGAGGCCCTGGGTCTGGTTGCCAGCACTCAGTCATCCCTAACTCCAATCCAAAGACTCCAGCACCTCCCGGCCTCCGTGTGCATGGGTGCCGTGCTTGTATGCATTGCACATGAGCCACTCAGACATTAACTGTAAGACGAAAAGGAGGGAGAACATTTGCACTTGTCTATTTTGTGATATATTTTGCCAGAAGCCACAGGTGTTTGCTACGGGCCTGTCTGACCTTTGCGGGACTTGGGTCATGTGACCTGCTTCTTAGATGAGGAGATGGGATGTGCAGGTGTTGCAGTTAGCCTGAGGAGAGTGAAGCCATGCTTGAAAATACTGACTCAAGATCTCTTAAAGCGAGCGGTGCTGAAGTTCGCTGCCGCCACTGGAGCCACTCCAATCGCTGGCCGCTTCACCCCAGGGACCTTCACTAACCAGATCCAGGCAGCCTTCAGGGAGCCACGGCTTCTGGTGGTGACCGATCCCAGGGCTGACCACCAGCCCCTCACAGAGGCGTCTTACGTGAACCTGCCCACCATTGCCCTGTGTAACACAGACTCACCTCTGCGCTACGTGGACATTGCCATCCCCTGCAACAACAAGGTAGAGTTTATGACGAGCACTCTGGGAAACCTTTCTCGTTTCTGTGCACATTGTTAGAGCTTGGAGTCAGGTCACAACCAGGCCGATGAACTCGCAAGTGTAGGTAGTGTGCTAAATGAGGGGCAAGGTTTCGCTAACCCCCACTCTGTCCCGTGAGTGGAGCTTGATAGTAACCTTTGCTACAAGCATGACAGTGTACCTCTATGATATAGGCCTGGGTTTCTCCAATGGATTTTAGAGCTTTCATTAATTTGGGGGGATTGTTATGCCTGCATGTATGTCTGTACCAATGTGTTCCTGTGCCCAGGAGGAAGTGGGGACAGATTTGTGTTTGTGGTTGGCCAGGTGTTTTAATGGCTCTCTCTCACTCTTCCAGGGAGCTCACTCAGTGGGCCTGATGTGGTGGATGCTGGCCCGGGAAGTACTCCGCATGCGTGGCACTATCTCCCGGGAGCACCCATGGGAGGTTATGCCTGATCTTTACTTCTACAGAGACCCAGAGGAGGTAAGGCAATGCCTGTTGCCACTAAGTGAATGGGACACCTTGGTCTGTTCAGTGAAGCTAAATTTGTCCATTATGATCTTTTTAACAACTAGATTGAGAAGGAAGAACAGGCTGCTGCTGAGAAGGCCGTGACCAAGGAGGAATTTCAGGGCGAATGGACTGCACCAGCTCCTGAGTTCACTGCTGCTCAGCCAGAGGTGGCTGACTGGTCTGAGGGTGTGCAGGTGCCCTCGGTGCCCATCCAGCAGTTCCCTACTGAAGACTGGAGTGCCCAGCCAGCTACTGAGGATTGGTCAGCAGCTCCCACAGCGCAGGCCACCGAGTGGGTTGGAGCCACCACTGAGTGGTCCTAAGCAAAGGAAAAAAAGGTGGAAGGAAAATAAAGTTTCTACAGGCTGTCTCTCAAGTGCCTGGGTTGCTGTTGCGGGGTCTAATGGGCACTGGGTAAAAGGTGATGGAAGTGAACTCACGGGCATGGGGGAAATTAGTGATCTGGTTTTGTTTTGTGAACAGGTTTTAGGAGAGGGTAAATACAATTAGAGAACATTAGCGTTCTACTTTAAATTAGAGGTTGCCTTTAACAAGCTGCTGGGTGCCTGTAGAAATTGCATAGGTGAGATCAGGTATGGTGTTTTTGATACAGGGTCCCTGTTCTAGCTCCCTCAAGCACAGAGTTCTTCTGGGGTGAAGATATAAGGTTGGTGCCACTGGGTTCTGTGTCCTGTAACAATTAACACTTAACAGTTTGACACTTCCGCACAGAACTTGTCCAGTGGCCCTGAGGTACTGATACCAAGCAGTTAGCCTCACTAGTTTTGGCAGCAGAATGGGCTAGTCTGCTGACGCTGTGCACTGTGGGAATTAGAGTGACTTCCTGTCAGCTGGAGTGGTTTTGAGGGCAGAACTGCACCCTCCCTGTTGCTGTCAGGTCATCTGTGCTGTGGCGCTAGTAAGTCTAAGCTCCCAGTTCTTAATTTTTGATTTTTTGAAAGACAGAGTTTCTCTGTAGCCTTGACTGTTCTGGAACTTGCTTCAGACACCAGGCTGGTCTCAAACTCAGAGATGCTGACTCTGCCTCCCAAGGACTGGGATTAAAGGTGTGCACCACCTGACTAAACTCCCAGTATTTAAAGCGTGGCGACTAGAGGAGGGCATAAAGTGTACTGGGTTTGTATGTTCCTGATCTGGGTCGTGGGAACAGAACTGATCCTCGTGGAGCCTGCTCCTTAGCTTTTCTCTCCCTGTGGTCCTTGCTGGGGTAAAGTGCAGTCGATGGTTGTGTCAGGACTGCAGCTCAGTAGCTCACAGCTGGCACCGGGCCTGGCTTAGGATGTGTGCGCACAACAGCCAAGGTTGGCACTGGTTCTATCAGTTTGAGCAATGCTGGCTACAGATTCTGCTTTTGTAGTTTTGATGTGAAGATTTTCTGCAGTTCACTAAATATTAATAAGTGAGACATAAATTTTGCCCTTAGAGACTATTAGGAAATTGTTGGACCAGGTCAGCCTGAGCTGAAGATCGTGGTGGGCCTGGTGGTGGGGTGGTAGTGGTCTGTAATTGCAGCACTGGGAAGCTGAAAAGGAAAAGCACTTAGGTGGACTCCAACTTCCCTGTCCCATGGTGAGTGAGCTTCAGTGGAGGAGTGTCTGACCTGCACAAAACATGAGTTGTCTAGCTGTGTGGGAGATTTAGGGATGGCCCCTTAGCGATTGAAGAATCTCAGATTTTTACGTTTGACCCCGACCAAGAATTTTAAGCCCCCAGGATATGGCAGTGAACAGGGAAAACTGGAGTTTGGAAGTGGGTGAAAAGAAAGGCACACACTTTATTTCATTCAGTAAGGTCAAAAGGTCTCCCTGACGTGGTCTGTACAGCTGTGTGAGGAATGCTGCCATCAAAATCTTGAAGTTTCTGTATTGGGGTATTAACAATTCTATCCAGTAAAAAATTTTTTCAAAACTTCTAAAATTAGCAATTTAGGTATGGAAAAAGCATACTAGAGAGGGGTTTAATGAAACTGCATACAGTGGACTAATCTGTGATTCAAATGCTTGAACTGAGGCAGGACTGTGTTTGGAGGCCAGCTTGGGCTACCTGGATATCAAACAAGCGAGCAGTGAGTATAACGGGAGTAGGAAATTGATTCTCCTGGGTCCGTGGATATAAAATACTGCTATGTTCCAAGTACTGTTTTTACAGACCTATTGTGGGCTATGTTAAAAAATCAAATGCCTGAACCACAAAGTGTCTTGAAAAAACTAAGTGCTTGCCACCACCAGTCACAGTTGAAAAGGATGAAAACTAGTGGTCGGTCAGCCCTGCTGGCTCCGTAAGCTCCACACTCCCTGACTTACACCAAGGCATAGGCCAAAAAGCCATGCCTCACATCACATGGAGGTAAAACCCAGAAGGATTGAGTTTTTTTCAGCAGCTGGGCACTGTCCTGTAAAACAGGCGTGCTAGCTGAGTCCAGCCAGCCTGCCGGATTACTGTTTTTTTATGGTCCCTGAAATACAAAATTTACTAATTGGCTGTCATTTATTCTAGTTAGCTTTCCAGGGACCTTACACCAGTGCTATTGAGACCTTACTTAAAGGGGCTCTATTCTGAGCAGAGTTTTCAGGATTGTGCCAAAGCACAATCTCCTTTGGGAATGCTTGTATATGCTGGAGCATGGCATTCATGATCTCATGAAGCCGGAGTCAGGACTACTCAGGTCAAGTCCTTTTGGCATTCGCCTCAAAATATCTTTCAGCATAATCTGGCTGGACTCAATGTATGACTAGTAACCAAAGACGGGTAAGGATTGAATGGAGGAGATTCTGACCTAAGACAGAAAGGTATTTTGACCTGGAATACTTTTTCCACGACGGGTAAAGAGTCTGCCTGGCCATCACCACCTAAGACAAGGTGATAGTCATCATATTTTATATAAAAGGGGGACTTGTGGGACCCTGTCCTCCCTGATCCTTGAGGCCAAAATACTGGATGCAAATAATGTTTACGCTAACCAGCTAAGCTTCCTGCTAGTTCCGTCCTTGGTTCTGCTACAGCCTGGTATATTAGCCTGAGGGATCTATTTTACTTTAAAATGGTAATTTCTCAACCTGCCTCAAAGAAGCTCAGGCGCCAAGGCCCATCTAACCTGTCTGACATTGCCTTAAACCCTCGACCACCTGCCTGGGGAAAAACTCCCACAGAGGCCAGTTTCCCCAGCCCCCTCTGGGTGGGAGGAGTTTTCCTTTACTGGGGCCAAAGGTATTTTAACCCTGGATTTAGTTGAGTAAAGGGGCATTCTCTTCTTGAGGATGACTGGAACTCTGTATCTGTGTGTGTGCGTCTTGTGTTTTAACCCCTAGGACAATATGGAACTCGTGGGATGTGGGTGGCGTGGAGGAGCAGTCTTACTGTCTAGCTCAGCTGGCATTCAGGAATGTATTCCATTGCAAATCTACCGGAAACAGGAGAAAGCTGGGTAAAGTCAGAATCTCTTAAAATAATTGCTGGTGGGACTACAGATTGGTACAAGCCAAAACTGGCCAGGAACCCACTACAGGATAGCTAACGGTCAAATGCCAAGCAGCACTGAAAGTGAACAAAGGTTACTTGCATGGCACACACAACTTTGGACCAAATAACTACATCAGAAAATTGCCCCTAAGAAGTGCTTCCATCTGCAAAGAGTTCAAAAATAGGGCAAATGGCCTATTCTTTACAGGAACAGTTTATATTATAGCAAGAAAATGTAATTTTTTCCTTAGTTTTTTTTTTTTTTTTCCCTCAATACAGGGTTTTTCTGTGTATCCCTGGGGGTCCTGGAACTCGTTCTGTACACCGAGCTGGCCTCAAACTCCGAGATCTGAGTGCTGGGATTAAAAGCGTGTTCCACCAATGACAAGTGAAAAAAAATATGTACACTTGTGTGAGGGTGTCAGATTCCTAGAACAGTTAGGAGCTAGCTGCCTTGTGGGAGCTGGGAGTCGAACCTTTGTCCTCTCCAGTTTCTGAAATATAAATACTTAAAGTGCTAATTTGGGTTTAGGCCAAGAATAGAGAGTATTTTTTTAATAGAGGATGAGGATACATGGAGACAAAGCAAAAAGGCAGGATGACAGTCTGAGGAGAAATCTGTACCAAAGACAGGGCTGGAGATGCACTCCAGCCAGGTTAAGAGCACTGGCTGCTCTTTCAGAGGTCCTGAGTTCAATTCCCAGCAACCACAAGGTGGCTCAAAAAGCATCTATAATATCTGACTCCCTCTTCTGGCCTGCAGGCATACAAGCAGGTGAAACACTGTATATAATAAATCTTAAAAAAAAAAAATACTGTTTAAATGTTCACTTTAGTCTACCCTCATGATGGTGCTGCTGCATCTCTGTTCCTCCCTTTATGGCTATAGCCTAGTTCCCTTCACTAATAGGGTGGTGGATGCGCTGCAATGTGGCTTTTAAGGAAGGACTACAAAGATGCTGTCCTTGGTCTGGACCTGGGATATTTCTTAACACCATTTTATGTGAGGAAGGAAGCCTAAGCAGTTGAGAAAGCCACACAAGAACTGGTGTCCCCAGTCCACAGCCTTAACCCTGCTTAGTACACAGGAAGCAGTACTAAGTTGCTGGCCAAGACAGCAAGTTTTTTGGTTTTTTTTTTAGTGTACTTACTGTACTGTCTCAAGTTGACCT